CGCCTCCCCCTCTTCTCTCTGCCTTCCCTTTCTCTGTCTCTGTTCGTCCCTTCTCTCTCTCTCTCTCCCTCCTCTCCTCTCTCTCTCTCTCTCTCTCTCTCTCTCTCTGCTCCCCTCTCCCGCTCTCTCCTCTCTCTCTCTCTCTCTCTCTCTCTTTCTCTCTCTCTCTCTCTTCTCCTCCTCTTCTCTCTCTCTCTCTCTCTTCTCTCTCCCTCCTCTCTTCTCTCTTCCCTCTCTCTCTCTTCTCCTTCCCTTTCTCTCCTCTCAACCCTCCCACTCTATCTGTTCATAGTACTTCTCTCTTCTCCCCTTTCCCTCCTTCGCAAAAAATACGCCAGACTTCCAGTTTCTCTCCCGGCGCCCTGAGATTAAACTGATATGAATTTCATAGCACCGTGCACCTGTGTATGTAAAATTGCTTCTGTATATTCATTTACCTCTTTTTTGCAGTTCCCTTCTTAAAGGTGCTGGGGTTATACATACCTCATATTGGTATACACACGCAGCGCGCATACACACGCACACGCACACGCACGCACAGCCACACACGCACCACGCACACGCACTACGCACATGCACACGGTCACACGCACACGCACTCCACGAACACACACACACACACACGCCACACGCACACGCACACGACATACACTACCACACACACACACACACACACACACACACACACACACACCACACACACACACACACACACACACACACACACACACACACACACACACACAACACAAACACACACATCAAGGAGGAGAGCAGAGAGAGGGAGAGAGGTAGAGAGTGAGAGAGAGAGAGAGAGAGAGAAGGAGAGAGAGAGAGAGAGGGAGAGAGAGATGAGAGAAGAGAGAGAGAGAGAAATACCTATATACCATACATATTTACATACATTCACAACATGGAATATAAAAACACACTGCATTGCCCTTGGCAGCCAAATTCACTCGGTTAAACTTCAGAAAATCGCAATGAAAAACAAGACAAAAGAATTCTAAAAGCAAACGCATTTGAATTTTGAATTTATATTACACTGTCTTTTGTTCTTAGAATTTTTGACATTGACAGATTTTCTTTCGAAGAGTGAAGTGTTTCTATAAGCGGTTTTCCGTAAGGGTTTTCCGAAAAAGTAATAATGGATTGGTGAATGATACAATAATAATAAATGTAGATGATAAATGATAAGATGATAATTATGATGATGATATATGATAATGAAGCATGAGATTCATAATAAAGAGTGATATTGATGATGAGGGAATGATAATGATAAAGATCTAATAATAATAATGCTAATAATTGATAATGATAATGGTACGATAAGATGATAATAATAATGACAAAGTTAATAATAATTGATTGATTATGATTGATTATATGAAATGATATATAAAAATGTATGAATAATTATAATCAAGCTAATGATAATGCTTAATAATCGGTAATAACATAATGAGTAGTAATAACTAATAATGATAGCGATAGCGAAAGATAATATGATATAACAATAATGGTAATTATAACAGCAAACAACAAAACTATCATTATAAATGACCACTACTTAAGGGCCATAGTTAATAACAGTTCTAATCATTAAACATGCCTAATTAAACAGGTAAAAAAGAAAAAGAAACTAGAAAAAATAGATTTCCTCTTCCTTTGCACTACTAACGTGTTTTTATTCCTCTTCTTGGTTTTAAAACTTATTTCCGTACGCATTTCTGTTTTCTAAAAAAAAAAAAAAAAAAAAAAAAAAAAAAAAAAAAAAATTAAGGCCATGAAGAACAGTAAGCTCACGATTCCCCGGTTGGGTCATAGGCGCACACACATGCATGCAGACTGTGCCTTCCTTGCTATTACGTGGGTAAAGCTAGATTTTAACACAATGGAGGGAGAAGGGAGGAAGAGATGAGGAGCAAGGCGAAGGAGAAGACATAGAGAGTGAGAGAGACGAGAGAGCAGCGAGGAGGGATAGAGGAGGAGGATGAGAACGAAAGGAGAGAAGAGAGGAGAGAAAGAGAAGGAGAGAGGAGAGAGGAGAGAGAGAGAGAGAGGAAGGAGAGAGAGAGAGAGGAGAGAGAGAGAGAGATGAGAGAGAGAGAGAGAGAGGAGAGAGAGAGAGAGACGAGAGAGAGAGAGGAGAGAGAGAGAGTCGAGAGAGAGAGAGAGAGAGAGAGAGAGAGAGAGAGAGGAGAGAGAGATAGAGGAGGAGAGAGAGAGAGAAGGAGAGGCAGACAGACAAACAGAACACAGAGAGAGAGCGAGGGTTTCCCGAGAGTGAGACATATGGTTATGACTATAGTTCCCGATCCAGAGCCCGTAATGGGGAACTTCTTCCATATTATTGGCAATTTTCGGCTTGAAATATAAGTAGAAAATGTCGACGATTACCCCATATCTCAGGGAAGGTCGGCGCTCCGCCCAGTTCTAGTAAAATCTTCGACCTTACTGAAAGATAAAGTACCAGTATTACGGACAAAGTTCAAACCGTATCGACCCGTTGCGAAGCGTGAACGACCTCGCTTCACCATGAACTGCTTTGGACCCTGAATGACCCTGCTTCCACCACAGGGACTTTACCTTCATGGCCTCAGCACCACGACCTTGCCAGTATGACCCTGATTCCACTCTATGGACCTTGATACCATAATCATACCACCTCGTGCCCTGTATGACTCTACCACTATGACCCTCATCATGACGACCCCAAGAATCCGAAACACCCTGACTCTACGACCTTCCCACACCAACTACACCACGTAAGTCATCACTAAACCCCTCTCTTATCTCTTCCTTCCAGCCTGACGAATCAGGTGGTGGCGCTGAAGGAGATCCGGCTTCAGGAGGAAGAGGGAGCGCCCTTCACGGCCATCAGAGAGGCGTCGCTCCTGAAACAGCTCAAACACGCCAACATAGTCACGTTGCACGACATCATCCACACGCGGGAGACCCTCACCTTCGTCTTCGAGTATGTGGTGAGTATGTGGTGAGTTTTTTTTCGGGGGGATTCTGATCAATGGGTTAAGGGAGGGTGTCTGGATTCTCTGGGATTCTGTGTGGGATCTGGGAGGATTTTAAGACTGTAGTTGAAGATTCTGTTGTGGTTTGTCTGTAAGAAGCATGGGGATGGTTGTTATTATTTCTATCGTTTTGTTTTATCTGTATTATCAGTATCCCTTTTTGTCATTATCAGTATTATGTATCACCATATCATCATCCTAATTTGCAACATTTTCGTTATTCCTGTTAGCATCCTTATCATCGTTATCACCATTATCTATAGATTAATTCCTCATCATCTCTTCCTTCCACTCTCCGGTACACAGTAGTATATTGGTATTATCAGCAACACTTATATTATCATTTCCTTTCTCTTTACCTTATATCACCATTGCCTTTCTCTTTATCTTTACATAGTCAATTCCATTATCTTTTCTATTCCTTGTATCATTATGATTATTTTCATTGTTTTGTCTGTTTTTCCCCTTTTTTCTGTTATCATGATGATTATCCATATTATTTTTGTCGTTTTTTGTATCATTTATTTTCCTTTTATCTTTATCACTATTTTAACCATAATGGGTACTATTGTTTTTATTTTTTCATCTCTACTTTTTTATCATTATCACCATTGTAACCATAATGGGTACTCCCTATTACTCTTATCTTTACATTTATCAGTTATTTTCCTATTATCATCCTGTAATAACCCCCCCCCCTTCTCCTCTCCTCCCCCAGCACACGGACCTGTCGCAGTACCTGGAGAAGCACGGGGGCGGCCTGCACCCTCGGAACGTCAAGCTGTTCCTCTTCCAGCTCCTGCGCGGCCTCTCCTACTGCCACCGCCGGAGGATCCTGCACAGAGACATCAAACCCCAGAACCTCCTCATTTCGGAAGTCGGCGAACTCAAGATCGCAGACTTCGGTAAGGGCTGGTGCAGGAGGCCATGGTTGTTGGATGTATTGTTATTATTGTTATTATTATCATTATTATATTATTATTCATTATTATTATCATTATTATTATTATTATTATTATCATATTATTATTATTATATTATCATTATTATTATATATTATTATTATTATTATTATTATTATTATTATTATTATTCATTCATTATTATGTAAGCTATATAAAGAGCCACACTGAAAAGATCGAGATTTATAGCAACAAAGGTGTCAGTGCAGGTCAAGATACAGCTAAGAAAAAATGAAAGAAGAGAAGGTCAGCTAATTACGTAAGAGAAACATGTTAGCTGATCTTTTAAACTTATCGATAGTCGAAGTTATAATCTTTGAAGGCAATCTATGTGTAGTCTGTGGAGGATGATAGAGTGCTAGAGTGTGTTATTTTTCGATGACTTGATTTGATTAAACGTTTGGTATCTTTTTGTGTAAGTTCGTGTCTCGATTTTATACCATTCTAAATGCTTTTTTTTTTTTTTCTCCCGTGCCCATTCCTTCTTTCTCCTTTCGTCTTACCTCTTACTTATTCTACCATCCCTTCCCTTCTCTACTTCTCCCTCTTCTACCTCATATCTCCACCCCCTCCTTTCCTTCATTTCCCTCCCTCCCGTTCCCACCTTCCTTTCCTCTTCCTCCCTCCCCCCCTTCCCTCCCCTCCTTCTCCCTCCTTCCGCCTCCCCTTTCCTTCCCCCTTCCTTCCCCCCCTTACCCCTTCCTTTCCTCCCCTCTTCCCTCCCCTCCCCTCTCCCCCCTTCCCTCTCTCCCCCCCCCTCCTTCCCCCATAGGCCTCGCCCGCGCCAAATCCGTACCGTCGCACACCTACTCGCACGAGGTGGTGACGCTGTGGTACCGGCCTCCCGACGTCCTGCTGGGATCCACGGACTACTCGACCTCCCTGGACATGTGGGGCGTGGGCTGCATCTTCACCGAAATGATCACGGGCGTGCCAGCGTTCCCAGGCGTCCGGGACATTCAGGACCAACTCGATAAAATATTCAAGGTGAGATGGTTGGCTTTGATCCTGTGTTTGTCTTTGTAATCTTTTTTTTTTTTTTTTGGTTTGTTGATGGTGAGACAGTTTTTTTTATGTTTAGATTTATTAGTATTTTTATTTACTTTATTAGTTTTATTGTTTGATTTATTAATGTTTTTTTAAATGTTTATCTGTATTATTTTTTTACTTGATGTATTAATTTTCCGTTGGTCTGTTTATGGTAAGGATTATCGTATTTTACCAGTACTATAATAACAATGCTACCGATAAAATAATATATTCTATTTAAATATTCAAGGTGAGACAGTTGGCTTTGATCCTGTTTGTCTTTGTAATCTTTTTTGTTTGATTTGTTGATGGTGAGACAGTTTTGTATGTTTAGCTTTATTAGTATTTTTATTTGATTTATTAATGTTGAGACAGTTATTTCATGTTTATTGATGTATTCCGTTGGTCATTTTATGGTAATGATTGCTGTATTTTACCAGTGCTATAATGACAATGCTATCAATAAAATAATATGTTCTATCATGATTATAATGTTGATGATAATAGTCTTGACAAATGTTATCTTCATTATTTTTGTTACTGCTATTCAGAACTAAGTGAAACAAGGATAAGAATAAGGAATAACAAGAAAGATATAGAAACAATAATTATGAATGATATAAAAACCCTAACGCTAACAATCAAAACAAACCAGACCCCAGCACCCCAACCCACCAACCCACCAACCCCACCAACCCCCCTTAAATCCCTCCTCAACGCCCTCAGGTGGTGGCACGCCGACCGAGGCCCCAACCACCAACCCCCTAAGACTCACTATATCCCTCCTCAACGCCCTCAGGTGGTGGGCACGCCGACCGAGGACACGTGGGCGGGGGTGACGTCCTTGCCCAACTACAAGCCGCACCGCCTCGTGCTGTACCGGCCGCGCAGGCTCGCCTCGCTTTTCCCGAGACTTAATGACATTCCTCACGCTGAGTCGCTCGCCATGCAGTTCCTACAGGTGAGGCGGGTGTCGGTTGTGTGTTGTTTTGGTTCGTTTTTATTTTATCTGTCTTTGTTATCTGTTTTTTATCCGTCTTTATCATCTTTTTCTTATCCATCTTTATCATCTTTTTTTATCCATCTTTATCATCTTTTTCTTATCCATCTTTATCATCTTTTTCTTATTCATCTTTATTATCTGTTTTTTTTTTCATCTTTATTATTTGTTTTTTCTTATCCATCTTTATCATCTGTTTTTCTTATCCATTTTATCATGTTTTTCTATCCATCTTTATCATGTTTTTCTATCCATCTTATCATGTTTTTCTTATCCATCTTTATCATCTGTTTTTTTTTTATCCATCTTTATCATCTGTTTTTCTTATCCATCTTTATCATGTTTTTCTTATCCATCTTTATCATCCTATCCATCCCTATCATCTGCTTTCTTCCTTACTCTAAACATTCCGCCGTGAGGGGATTGAGTTTATTTCTCCGTCGTATTATTTTTGTTTTT